TCAATTGATTGCTAGCTCAGTTCTCTTCGACTGCTGCTTGTCACTACCGATTCATAATTTGGCTCTCAACTAACTCATTTTGTCAACTGATATTCACATAAATCATAAGCTAATTAATAAAACCTGCTGGTTTTATTTGGTGCATTATTCAATTTTGTATCAGGTTGTCTTTAGTGCTAATCCAAATTTACTTGTTAAACAAAAAAGAAATTGTCTCTCGATCGGATAATGTATGTTGATATTGAAAGGGGAAAAATAATAAATAAACAAAGGGCATGTGTCTGCTTTACATGCACTCCTAAAATGCGGTCCCATGCCTGTGGGAGGATTGATACTGCTGGCTATTATGTCTAATTTTCAAAAACTACATTTCATAATTAATATGACACACGTGGTGGGTTTCACCTTGTACCACGTTGCCTGGTGGGTCCATCAAACTATCCTAAGCTGTTTTCAGGATTTCTGGTAATGAAAAACACACTCTGATCAATCTCTAATCATGCTTTACTTTTAGGAGGCGTTTGAGCTTTTGCACTCAAAATGAGGCTTCACAAATCACCATCATCAAATTTGTACTTATTTTATTACATTTGATATTTGTGATAGGCCATATTATTAAGTGGGTAAGGGTAACTATCACTTCATTCCCCAAATGATTTCTTCGAGGCACACAACACGACAAAATATTTACAAATTGTTGCTTTCATTAGAGAAATTAAGGTGATGCTAAAACACGCAATATAGCGCATGTCTGCAATTCAGTGAGCGCTGATCAGAGATTTAGGAGTAGCAATAATTATGGTAGAAATATGCATAACCCGTATTAGTGACTTTGATGCTAAGGGAGAAAAATCAGCAAAAAAAAAAAAATCTATCAGCTTTCAGTGCTGCTGGATGATCACAAGAAATATGGGAAAAAATGGTGAAACGAAACCGTCAATGGTTTTGATGTCTTATAAAAAGAGAGAGCGACGGCATAAGTATAGAAATAAGGTCGGATATCAAAATCTATCAGCTTTCAGTGCTGCTGGATGATCACAAGGTTCAACCTATCTTTAAACTTGATGAAGTACATTTTCAAAGCAGGCTAGGATCGATATATAAATACATATGTAGAAAAGAAAAAGAGAAAGAGAGTTAAACAGTCCTTCTTCTATATTTATTTGAACAGAAAATCCTTCTATTGAATTATTTTCTTGCTAAGCTACACAAATGAAAAGGAAAATTAGAAACCTCATCAAGACCATTTGCCTTGCCCAAAAGAAACATCAAAGGTACGGATGTCCACCGGCCAAAGAAATAGTCTAAAAAGTACGGTTGGATACAGTTTATATAAACTTCACACGAAATGATACAGCTTATAAATTTTTAGACTTTTAAACGTCTTCTAACTATCATTATCAATTTCCATTTTATTTTCATTTATTTCTTTTACTAAATTTATGTACAAAAATTTAAGAATAGAAATTAAAAGCAGAAAATATTAAAAATTTGATTCTACTATTTTAATTAATATATAAAGTTTTATAAATAAGAAACAAAATTAAAAAGTAACATTTATATGATTGAAAATGAAAATAGAAAATATAAGAAGCATTATTCAAAATAATCATTATATTTTTTTTTGTCTCAAGATAAATAAGATTATTAATTAAAAACGATAAAGTTTATTCTTTTTCGAACATTTAACACATTTCTATGTATATCTAGAATTTAAATTCGAGACCACTATTTAAGATGGTTAACCATTATATCTTTAATTTTTCTTTTAAATAAAACAAATAAATAGAGAAATGTGAAGTAAAGGATGACAAGATGGACTAACTTGTCTCATTTATTGTGTAAAATGTGAAACAAACCATACAATTTGATTTATTTAATGAAGTAAGTTGAAAATTTAAATATATCTTATATTGTAGTGGGTTAGTCTATAAAAAAATTAGATCGATTTATCTATTCACTAAGAGATAATTAAATTTAAGTTTAAACATACATTTATACAAAGATTATATTTTTCAAAATATTTTTAATAAAATGTAATGAATCCGAAAAAAAATGAGTCAACTTATCCATTAATTAAAAAATAATTAAATTGAAGTTTAAACATACATTTATACAAAGATTATATTTTTCAGAATATTTCTAATAAAATGTAACGAAAGATCATAAAATTTCATTGACATGTGTCCAACCTCATCCCATTTTCTTGACGAGTTAAGCAAAGTGAATCAAAACAAGTTATAACTTATTTAATAACCAAATACTCATGTGTAATACGCGAATAATTTTGCTTTTGAGGTGAAATTTTCGTATATAATATATAAATGAAGGGAAAAGGAGACAAATAACACATTAGAAGTGAAAAAATGATGATTTCCTTATCAAAGGGGTGACACTACAAGAAACATGGTCAAGCGTCACTTATTTCAGCAAAGAAAGCGTTACAAAAACAGCATCGCTTATTTCAATTGATGTGCCGTACCATTTGATTTAGTTGCAGATTAAAAAAGTCGATGTGCCGTATCATTTGATTTAGTTGCAGATGAAAAAAGATGGATGTAATTGCAAATCGGAATCATGCAAGACCAAGTTGCATGAAATACAAAACGCACCAGAACCCAGTATAAATGTGTCTGTCAATTTGGGTGAGTTCGTCACTGTGGTGCAGAAGCAAATTAAATTCACGGGATAATGAATTGCCGACACAACCCAGTCCTACGAGGTTAGGTAGGCCACTGACTTTTTTTAGAAAAACTTTTGTTCTGTTCAAATACGAAAAAAAAAATCATTTTTATGTTTTATTTTTCTACAAGTTCACAAGTTAATCACTTATACATTATCAGTGTAAAATTTTTTTATACTGACAACCAATTATATCTTTTAATAGTAATATGTCAGTTATTTATTTAATAAAATTTTAATAAAATAAGTAATTTTAAAAGATATGATTGATTGCAGGTGTAAAAAACTTTACACTAACAATGTAAGAATGATTAATTCTTATAAGATTATGAAAAGTTTTACGCGAGAGAATATATTTTCGGGCCGTGAAGAAATTGCTAATTGATCCTTGAGATGTTAAGAAATAGAAAAAGGAAATAAAGATAGATGTCAATGATATACTCCCTTTATTTGATTTTTCGATATGTTAGAAAATTGCTTGAACAATAATTTGTCTTACTGAAAAACATTTGTTGGGTTCAAATACATAAAAAAAAAAAAAAAAAAGCATTGCATATAGGAAAAAGTAGGCGTGCATCCAATTTTATGAAACTTCCACTTAGAGTCATTAAAATTTCATTTTTGTGAAATTGCACACGATCTCCTTAATTTTTTTTATTATTTACATTAATTTTCTTTATAAGGATACATAATGTAATAATTTTTCATAATGTAATAAGAGTTTTTATAATATCTATGGTGTTAGTGTAATAATTTCAAATAAATAAGGCAATTACTATAGAGGTAGAAAAAACCAGAAAATGTAAATTCACGAAACTTTAGAGTGTAATTTATTTCTTTTGATTTTTGTTAGATAATATATATACAGACACAAAGTATTTATAAATTTTATTAAAAATTAATTTTAATTTGTTGCAAATTATGAGTTACTACTTTTAATGAGTTATTTTTTTAATCATGCTTTTTTTTTTCATCTTTGAATATAAAATCTTAATGAATTGGAACCAATTCCCCTTGTACCAACAATAAGTCATCGGTTCATGAATATACTGATTTGGTGTATAAGTGAGCTGAATTTGATAGACGAGTCTGAATAATCTAATAAGATATGCTAATTAAACTAATAAATATTATATTTTTACGAGAATAAAATTTAAGTTTAATTTTATATTAACTGAATTGTTTTGCTTGATACAATATTACAAACTGCCAAACTGGCTTCAAGTGAGTAGCCAACTCATCGGCTTATGTTTAACCTTTTTTCTTTTTCCCAAGTATAATAAATAACTAATATCATATGCTATATTAGGTTTCTTTTTATTTTTTAAAATTAATATTTTTGTACAAAATATCAAAATTTTATTTTTATTTTTTCATACTCCTTCCATTATAAATCTTTAGTCCTTTTAACTTTCTCATTGTTCTGAAACAATTGCCATTTTAAAATTTTAAAGTATAATTAATTCTTCTTTCTTCATTAAACTTCTATTTTATAGGCTTTTTCTCTATTAAATATTTACTTATTTTTATAAAAACGAGATAATGAAGTTGACATAATGAGATATTAAATAAGGATATTTGTCCAAATTCAGATATATTAAATGCTTCTAAATTGATGTGCATTGACTTTAAATTTTACTACTAAAAATATTATATGAGAATAATATTTTTTTATGAGAAGTCAGAAGAATTACATAATTTTTTTTTTGTTGAAGTGTTATTTATCGTAGAAAAAGTAATATATAGAGGAAAAGAAAATTCAAGTTACACAAGTACATTTCACAATCCTAGTCTGGATTTCAATTTACAAGCTTTTGATTTTTGTTCCTGACGTTAAATTTGGTTGAAACATTTTTTAAATTTGATACTGTCTTATAATAAGTATTTTCTCAGTTTTTTTTAAAGTAATGTTAATAAATAAATAAAGTAACATAGAAATTCTATGAAAATAATCTTATTATTAATATTATCCAACTCAACAATAATATTTTAAAAATACTATTTAAAGGTATGAATAAAAAATAATAATTAATGGAAGTATTACTTTAAAATTAAAATAATACTAATTAAAGGTATAAATAATTAGGACGTAGTAGATGATTAATCCTGAACAACATCTATACTGTATGGTGGCCGACTAGGCCGAACGCCCGAACCCACGAATAATCAGGCCGGATACCCGAGCCCGTCGATGCTGAGGCCGATCACCCGAGCCCACCGACCACGTATAAACGAGTGAAACATGCTGGTGTGGTCGGCCAATCTCAGCGCCTCTGCCAGGCTGATTACGGATAGTTTAATTAGTGTAACACATCAGATTAGCCCCCTAATTTTTCGGGGTGGCCTTGCTTGATGAGGTCCTCTAGTTTATCCTTTAACGCTGAGCATTCTTCTGTCGAGTGGCCCCGGTTTCGATGGAATCGGCATGACTTAGCCGTGTCGGCTCTTGGAGGTGTGTTCGCCCGCTTGGGCATCACCAATATTTCAGATACTAGGGCCTGCTCCAATACCTTGGCCCTGCTCGCGTTGAGAGGAGTATACGTTGTGTAACGCGGTCCTCTCGGCGGGCGAGCATTCGAGGGGTCGGCATTTGTCTTTTTCATGGGCTCCCGGCCTTGTTCCTTCTTGCTGTAAGTCTCCTCAACCCTAGCTTGGTTTCGGGTCTCCGCCAGCTCCTCCATTTGCATATACTTCTCGGCTCCGCGCCGGAGGTCATTCATGTCGACCGGTGGTTTCTTACATAAGCTATTCACAAAGGGCCCCGGCTTCAGAGCGGTGATCAGCCGGTCCAAGGCCACGGCCGGGTTAAGATCACCTATCTCCATGGCGATTTTGTTGAACCGGTCCATAAAGCTTCTCAAACTTTCCTTCTTCTCTTGCCGAATCCCCGTCAAAGCTAACGAGGTCGTCCTGTACGGCTTACTCGTCGCAAATTGTAGGGTAAACTCAGATGATAACTCGCTAAATGAATCAATGGAGGAGTTTGGCAGCCTCGTGAACCAACTCAAAGCCCTACCCTTCAGTGACGTGGGAAATATTCGGCACAGAGCCGAGTCGTCTTGAGTGGAGAGGGTTGCTTGAGTCAAGAAAACATTCAAGTGTTCCTCGGGGTCGGTTGACCCATCGTACTTGTTGATCGGTATACTTTTCCAGTGGTCCAATAGGGTTGCCTCCATTATTCTTCGAGGGAAAGGATGCCTCAGGGAGTGAGTATGGGTGTCGGCCTTGTTGGCCACCAAAGAGGTGGCTGGTGTTCGAGTTACATGGTCAGTCGGGGCATGATACGCTGATTCCTCCTGGAGAGTGGGAGTTGACGACACATATGTCTGGTTGAGGCTTCGAAGCTCGGCGTTCCGGCGGCGCAGTTCGGCCAACTCCCTGGCGTCGGCTTCTCTTTGTCTTCGGATAACGGCCATTTCTTCGCACAATGCGCGCAAGTCGTCTTGGAGGTCGGGCTGAGCATGGTCGGTATTAGGTTGAACCTCTTGTATCACGGGTTCGGTTTGTGTTTGAGGCATTCCGTACGGGTAACGCTCTTGGTTGGTCATAACGGGATTGCTCCCGAGATTAGGGATTGGTTGAGTCGTTGTTGATTGTCCCTTGCGCGTTGCTACCATGTCTTGATCTCAGTCGTAGAGTAAAAAGGGGCTGAAAACGTCTCTTCGGCCCCACGGTGGGCGCCAAATGTTCCTGTGTTA